CCTACGTGTGGGTTGATCTCCCGACCTTCGAACGGGATTTCATGAATCGATTTGATTATGTTCACCCCGAGCAAGCACTGTACATGATCAAGGACCGAGTGCAAAAACCTCTCGAATCCGTGGCAGAATATCGAAACCGGTTCTACAGAATGTTTGTAAAAACTGAGCGAGGTGAGCAGGTAGGGAGAGATTTGTTCATTGATGGGTTTCGCAGCCGAACAATAAGGGTTAAGTTGCGAAAGCCATTCTCCCCCATCACTCACATGCTACAACAAATCATGGCTGCTGCGGAGGAAATGGAACGGAAGTTCGCAGCGAATTTCCTGGAAGGAGAAGATTATCCTAGAGAAGGAGATTCGACCGAACTCGCACGAGCGAGAGCTGAGCTGGCTGCGTTACAAAACAAGTTTGAAAATATGGGGGTTGTATCAGGACCTGTCACCTATATGGAACAGATAGGCCCCAAACGACTAACCCTCAGTGAGATTCCGAGCACCTCCGCTCCTGTGATACCCGCACCCGTAAAGGCGCCACCCCCGCCACCGATTGAGGCTCCCGTACGATCGAACGAATCAGCGGCCATATTCGAACTAACCCAAACATTGATTAGTCTAATCCAGGAAAGCAAAAAGGAGCAGCGAGAGCACAACGCTCGGCTAGAGGCCATGATGAGGAACATGCGGCCCATTGTGGTGTGTGCCCCTCCGATGCAGCAAGGATTGGGTCCGACACCTGCTCTTGGGGGAGCCGCGAATAATCTGAATGTCTGTTATGCCTGTCATCAGCCAGGGCATTTGGCCCAAGACTGTCCCCACCGACCCCCGAAACAGCGGATTGGGGTCACACCAATGGCAACGGCCCCCATCGCTAACGGACCAGGACGAGTCAGAGCTTTAATGGAAGAAGTAGAGGGTGGGGGAAGTGCCCTAGCCACCACGGAAGAGGCAGCCGAACTAATCCCGTTAGATCAGTATGTATCGCTTGGATATCATGGGCTAGGAATGATCGGAACAATCAGGCCAGCGCAAGAACAAAGGGAAGTGGCAGAATGGCGACCCTCTCCAGGGGAAATTGAATCAGGAGGACCCACTTTCGTCACGGGAGAAATCGATGTATTAAACATCGTCCGAGCCTTGGACCATCGGATTCCACTTCCAATCGGTCATTTGCTTTCGATCTCTGAACAATCCAACGAGCGGATGTTGCAGCACTGCGAAGCGAACCGAAAACGATTCGCTCTGGCCCGAGTACCGAACGCAAACACTAAAAGCCCCACACTCGAAGAAAATCCGACAGGCATTTCGGATCCGATACGGGTAGGATTAATCCAGAAAGACGACCATTTTCTGCGGATTAAAGTCATCCCGTGAAAGTCCGCAAAATGCGATATTGAAATTTAGGGAATTCCATATAACACAATCATTGATTCAGGAGCGACCGTTTTGGCTATTTCGTTAGAAGTAGTCAAGAAAGCAGGATGGAAAAACGATCTGATCATGCTCACTGAGAAAGATCAGCTCGTTTCGGCAGATGAAGAAAAGATCAAGACCGTGGGAAGAATGACCAATGTCGCTTTCCGGTTAGGAAAAGTGCACGCGCTTGGGGATGTCGTAGTACTAGATGTTAATACGTACGACGTTCTTTTCGGACTTCCCGCTCTTGTGGCCCTACGAGCGAACTTGGATTTCGAACGAAGATCGATTATCCTCCGAAATACCGGAGGAAAACCCTACGGCGTGCCCATGCGATTGACCCTCCGTACTACCATTAACACGGTCCCCCAAGTCTCGCCAATGTTTGCTGGAACCCTTCGTATGATCTCTTGGGAAAAATCCGCGGACGAAGAATCCTCGACAAATGATGCGGATAGCAGTGATGAAGATGATCCGGAGATCTTGAAATTAATACGACAGCGCGTTTACTACCCACCGCCCAAAACGATAGCGAGAACGATGCAACTGACCAGCCGGGTGATTGCAGGCATTCTAACAGAATACCAAGGAGCGATTAGTGTGACAGACACTGACATTGGCTTGTCGTTATTAATCCAACATGAAATTCAGACAGGAAATCACTCCCCAATTCATTGCAAACCTTACCGGTATTCCTTGATTGAACACAAAAAGGCCCTCAAACGAATTCGGGAGTTCGAAGCCAGCGGCTGGATTGAACCCGCCACCGGACCTTCGTCATTTCCCGTAGTGTTAGTACCGAAGAAAAACGGAGCGATTCGCATTTACATTGATTATCGCAAGCTGAATGAGATCACGATCAAAGATGTGTACCCCCTCCCCCTGATTGATGATTTGTTGGATGCGATTGGATGCGCTAATTATTTTAGCAAGTTTGATATTCGGCATGACTTCCATCACATTCTGGTAAAGGAGGAAGATCGGCCGAAGATGGCCTTCATACTGTTTGAAGGTACGTGGCAATGGGTTCGATGTCCGATGGGTATTTGCAACACGCCTGCCACGTTTCAGCGAGCGATGAACATGACGTTCCAGAATTTCGTCAACAAGACACGGCTGACACAAGGGATGATTAACTTTTGTGTGATCGTGTACATGGACGATATCCTGGTCTATTCGGAAACCTATCACGGGCACACGCAACATATCGAATGGACATTGGGCGCGTTGAGAGACGCTGGGTTCAAGATTGCGCTCGAGAAGAGCAAATTTTTCCTCTTAGAAATCTCGTTCTTGGGCTACGTCGTGACACGTGGAGGACTACGACCGGACTCAAGAAAGGTTGCGGCAGTGAAAGAAGCCCCGGTTCCCATGTCACTGACGCAGGTTCGAGCCTTCTTGGGGTTAGCGTCGTACTATCGACCCTTCATCAAGGGCTTTGCCGCGATTGCACGACCATTAACAAATCTGCTATGGAAGGACCAGCCTCTCAGCTGGGACGCGGAGTGCCAGCAGGCCTTCGCGACCCTCAAAGACGCCTTGGCGACGGCTCCTATTTTGATCTGACCGGACCCCTCCAAGCAGTTTATCCTCATTATGGACTGGCAACCGGAAGCCATTTCCGTTATTTTAGCGCAGAAGGGGAACGATGGTCGTGAACACGTCATCGAGTGCACGTTACTCACAGTGCCTGACGAACGCCGGAATGACTCAGCACCTCAAGGCGAGTGCTATGCGGTAGTTTGGGGAATCCAACACTTCCATCCGTATCTCTACGGACCGAAGTTTCGCCTCGTGACGGATCACGAGCCTCTGCTAGCTTTGAAGAAGCTCACCAACTACATGGGCATGATTGGCCGATGGGCGGTACAACTACAGGAGTAGGATTTCGATATCGTTCATCGGAAAACGGAGAGACATGGCAACACGGATGGACTGACACGTCTGCATCGACCTGCTAAAGTGTCGAAGGGCGAGGAAATCACACCGTGGAAGGAACCGGAATTCACAAACGAGCCGAAATACGGACAAGTGGCAGTTTTTCCACGTGGCAAAAAGCAGGGTGATGGCAATGGGTGATGGAGGTAACCCCACTACCCCTCTTTCCCCCCTCTCTTCCTCGTCTGTCCTCTCCCTTCCTGAGAAATTTTGTTATTTTTGTTAAGCAATTTCCCACGTGTATTTCGTCCCCATGCGTCCCAACGGAGAAGGGTATGTGGACTGGATAGATTGTCGACAGTGTGTCGCACGAGCCCATGGCTCGTGCATCCAATACAGAAACAATAGTAAACCGTGGTTGTGCCCCTTGTGTCGGACTGACAAGATTCCGACCGAGGCTCGCTTTTTGGATGCCACGTTAGAAGGAATGGAGAAGATCCGGAAGTTTAGAAGGGTCGAAGTTTGGACAAACATTGCTTTAATTGCCACCCTAGTAGGTAACCCCCTCCAGGATTTCACCAAGGAAGATCGGAGGAGGGCCAACGAAAGGGCTCGAGATTATCGATGGGTAGAAGGTAGGTTGGAAAAACGGAAGACGGATGGCTGTGGGATTTGGATGGTTGTGCCGTATCCGTTTATGCGGTATGACTGGGTTAAGACAGCGCACGAAGAAATTGGGAATCATTTCGCCGTGCGAATCATGGAGTCCACTATCGACAAAAATGAGTGGTACTTGTCCAATATCCGCGACGATGTGAAATATATCGTCGCCAACTGTCAAGTCTGTGCCGCTGATAAAGCGCCGATTCAGCCGCCAAGGTCGATAGTGCCAACGGTAGTTGAACGGCCATTTCAAAGAGTCAGCATGGACACTACCGACATAGTGGTGCCCCCTGGCCCTAATAGTTATGAATATTCAGTCCTATTGGTATTTGTCGACCATTTATCGAAATGGATCGAGCCGTACCCTTGTCGCACGCGGCAAGCCACAAAAATCGCACGACACGTCAACCGTTTCCTTGGGATGCACCAGCATACAGAAGAGATCCTGACCGACAACGGGGCTGAATTCAGGGGAGAAGTGCTAAGGAATCTGGTCCTACATGGTGTTGCCATACGGAATACTGCACCCCATATGTCGCAATTCAATGGGCTGGTAGAAAACGCCAACCGAATGATAAAGACAGCATTGCGACGAAACTTCGCGGCACGGGATCCGAGGCCCTGGCCCGACATCGTCGACCACATCCTGGCGGTCCATCGCGGAACGCCCCACTAATCAACAGGGTTGAGCCCCTTCCAATTAAGGACTAATAGCGTCGCTTGTGTTTTGATACCAAGCCTCCCAGATGAATCCTCACTGAGCCGACGGCCCACCAGGGCCACGACTCAGGACAAGGCCAAACGACACTTAGAGTTAATGGAACAGTCCCTGCCCAGGCTAGCCCGAAAAACGACAAAGAATGACCCAATTGGCCCAAGACCGACAAGTCTGTAGCTATGAGGCCCGAAATGGGAACGCGGGTCCACGGACCCAGTACAAATTAGGGGACGTGGTGCAGGTAAGGAAATGTGCTCGCCAGGGTAAGCTAGCGCCACGATTCTTCGGGCGATATCGCGTGATCGAACTCGGGCCTAACGGCATGGACACCGTGCGTCTCGCTCTTGAGGTCTCCAGCAGTCGATCGGCTCGTCCGATCACGCACCACGTGTCCTATCTTCGCCTCCTCCCCTCCGCTCCATCTCCTTCTCCATCGGCCTCTCCCTCAGAGGAAGCCGACGACGGCGATCTTATCTCTCCGGCATCTCCCTCTTCTTCTCCCTCCCTCTCTACCACCCCGTCACCTTCGCCATCGCCATGAGTTTTCTGGAGGAGAGAGCCCTTAGCGAAGCATTGCTTGTGCCCCATAATCGACTGATGATTCGACAAGTCCATCACCCCCGCCTCAATCCAGATCTTCGGCGGCTCGCGCACTTCTTCTGCACGGAGGGCGTGTATGCAGCAGCGGTGTTCAGGATCGAAGGCAGGGCTGATGCGGTGGTACTAGCCGAGGCTGTAGTAGTTCATCAGCGAGCGGCGCCAGGTGTCAGTCGCATATCAGTCGTCGTCAACTTCAGCGGCGATCTCTCCACGCTCCTCCCCTTACGACATTCGACGGTGAAGGCATCACTGCATATGTGGGCGAACGATCTGGTCGCCGAGTGGACTCAGTTTCTGGCTCGCCATGGGGACACGATTGTGCCATCACGGGCAATCGAGTACGACGGCCTTCGGATGTATCAGCGCGATCCGCAGGTGGAGCTTCCCGCCCTCGTTCCCTTTCCGCGTCCCCAATGAGTCCCTCCCCGATCTCTGTTTTTAATCTCTCCTCCACCTTTCCCACCTTCTGGCAGTCTGACGTCCATCCTCGCCTTTCCTATTGCCTAAAGCCTCTTACTGCCCCCCCTCTTCATCCTCCCCATTGGTCCTTGTGGCCCTAGGATTTCGTCGAGCTTTCATTGTGTTTGATCGAGGTGCGGCTGACGTGGACCAAGGACGGAGCGCACCCACCTCGCATAGAGCGTCTGGAGTTGTTGTTTATCCAGGCCCGGCGCACCAGCATGGAGGGAGAGCTTCTCACGTTTTTATTTGGAACAGTGCGGCCCGGTCATCGGGAACTTATCGCGCAAGAGCTCACGATCCCTGTAGCGCAGCTGGCGGATGATCTCCCTCTCGACATCGTCGCCCAAGACGACGAGCATCCGGTTCCCCACGTGCTCTCTCGCACATTGACACCTTACCTTCAGTGGTCGGCTTGCGTAGAGGGAGCCGCAGAACGCATCCCGCCGTCGCAGCAACAATATTTGGATCCCTGGACGGCTCTCGATCCTGCCTTCTTTAGGTACCCTACAGCGGAGCAGTTTGCTGCCATCCGAGAAGAAGAGGAGGAAGAAGAGAGCACCTGGAGTGACGAAGGAGAAAACGCGCGGGAAGAAGGCGGGGATAGCGACAAAGTGCTCGGCGAAGAGGACGAAACCCCCGAAGAAGGAAGCTATAGCGAGCATAGCGAGGGGGAACAGAGCGAAGAAGAAGAAGAAGACGAGGAAGGAGAAGAGGAGCACGAAGAGAGGCCTGCTGGATCGGAGTGGGAAGTTGTGCCGGAAGAAGCACTGCGTACGGGCACAGAGGCTGAAGATCCCGAGGCGGCCCGCAAAAGAGAAGAGATCACGGCCGGGAAGAAGGAGTTAGAACTCGCGAGCGCGGCGAGTCTGCACATCCACGACGACCCAAACCGAGATCCGGAGCCGTCCCGACTTGAAGATGGCGACCTCGCGGCCACGACTCCGACCCCATCAGCGTGGCGACGGAGCCGATCCCCCTCCTCCCCAACCCGTCCCCCAGTTCGTCGACGTACCGATACGGGCGATTGGCCTTCGTCCCCGATCACTCTCCCGCCGTCCCCTTGATTACCTCACCCTCCGCCAACTCACCACCCCCGTCACGTTCCCCTCCAATCCGTTCCCTCGCGGCACCTTTCACCACTTCTACGCTGCTCGCCTCGCTATAGTAGTGCATCCCCACCTCTCCATCCGATGCGTCGTCCCGGCCTTCTGCCTCCATGTCTTACTCCTTAGTGCCGCGTGGCGAGGCCACAATATGATCGAGGTTTATTGCGTGATAACGGGGACCATCCCCGCATGCGAAGACCGCGATCGCTTCCGCGCGGCACTCTTCCGAACTCTCACCACCCTCTATCCCGACTATCTTGCATCCCTCCCTCGCACTGGCAACCGATTCCCCCGTTTTCATCGCATTGTTCCTTATCAAAAGCTCCCGGAGACTGTGGCCGGAATGGAAAGTCTCCTGCCCCCGCTACCCATAAACCCTCCACCCCGCCATGCCGCTATGTACCGGCTTCCTTTTCCCCTCCCCTGCGGTCACTGATGCATGGTTGATTGACACGTGTCCAGGTGACGACGCGTAATCCCCTCCTTGGATTGTCAAGGGCCTTTCCTGAGGAGTTAGTAGCTAGAGCTGTATCTGTCACACTAGAAGACATCCACACTCGTTCATACGGTAGGTGGCACGAGCTCCGCGTGTCGATCGATTAGAGAAATTGACACGTGTCGACAAGCAAGCAGGAGCTTGCTAATTTTGGAACCCCCTGGGCGTCACATATGTGACGAACCACTTTCTGTAATGCGCGACTTTTTGCGCGGTTGCAACGAGGGGTCCTAAGCTGGGAAGGTTGGACCAATTGCGGGAGATCGGGATCGGTGGAAAATTGCATCAGTGTCCTTGCTTTTTCGTCTCTTTCGCCGAATGGCTGGGTTCGGAGCTGGGTGTGTCCTGGGATGGCCGGTTGATTGATTGGTCGGCGGGATGGCTGGCGCGCCACCTCGCGAGCGATTAATAAATGTTGACGACGTTTCTTTCATTTCAGTTTCGACCTTTTGGGTGTGGACATCGTGCGGGAATCTGCTTCGTTCTTTTTGAATTTTCTTTTGAGTCTTTTTCGAATTTTGTCGAGCCCCGATGGCTCTCAGAATTTCGGACTTTCCCCCTGAAGTTCGTGCTTTTTGCTCCTTCACATTAGATAAGAATTCAAGAATTCAGTAATTAGGATTTTTCTTGCCGCGCGTCGCCTTTTGTCTACGCGCATCTTCATGCGGCTGCAACAGTACTTCAATTAGTAGGCGCCCTTAATCGTGTGTGTAACTGTAATTTTGGGCGGGCGCCATTGTAACTGTATCTTTCTTCTTGCAACTTGTTTCTCTCGCCCTCCTTCTCCTTCTTTCACTGCACTTTTGGTAGCCGTGGTCTGCATGATCGGATCGATGCGTGGAGAGCGGCTACGTCCCCCACGCCACGAGCCGACCATGCAGACGCAGGCAAACTCCTCCCCCATCCCCTCTTCTAAGTCCTTGTAATTCCGTGTTCTTTGCGCATGCATGCACGTTATAAATTCCGGCTGCGCGATTAGTTAGCTCTCTTAACCCGTTGTTGGAAGCTCGGGGTCGCGCGATCAGGAAGGATCGACACACAAGTGAAGTAAGAGGTGAGTCGAGTAGGAGTTGGGTGACCTGACGGGCTGATGCCAAACGTGCGGGATTGACGTGGGCCACGACGGACTGTGGGCACGGGCGAATGTGACGGGTGTGGGAGGACTAAGCGGGGTGACGACTTGAAGTTCGTGGGTTGGTGCGTGACGACGGACTGTCCACATCAGAGAAGAGAGAGAGGAGGAGAGAGTTGAGGTCGATGGACGCGGATTTGTGGTTTCTTTGTCTCTTCCCCCTCCCTATCTGTGTATACAAATTTTGATTGCGGCTCCGGGCGGTTTGCCCGTTCTTATTTTCGTTTCGCCTTTCTGGAATCTGGACTTGGGGTTTTGCTCACACTTGTCCTTGCGATTTCCGTCTCGAGCTTCTACATATTCCATTCCTTGAAATGCAATCCACTTCTGTCAACGGTAACGAACTCGGACGTAGAGGGTTCGCACAGGAGAAAGCGTMCAGACTGTCTGCAGGCAGCAGATCCAAGATGTGGGGACACCTAAGGATCCCAAGTTCGCAATTGGTTGGAATTCAGGATCGCCCGAAAGTGCAAACACTGGGGGCGATGGAGGGACCATAGTAGTGATTGATGCCAGACATCACAAAGGGTCCTATGGAGAACACAGATTTGATTGATAATTCATATGGTATCCATCCAGGTCGCAGTTGCCAAGCCTCTGCAGGCTTACTTACAGTCGCTAACTAAGGACCTCCGTGAGAGAAGCAAATAGTGAAACAAAGACAAGACCTATTGCAGCAACACCTCCTAATTTATTCGGTATACTACGAAGAATTGCATAAATAGGTAAAAAATATTATTCTGGCACTATGTGAGCTGGAGTTGACATAGGATTCGCAGGTATGTAATTGTCAGGATGTGCCAATACGTTAGGTGCATAAAAAACAAAAATGGACAAAAATATTGCAAAGGCTTCGGTTGAAATAATGTTCGAAGTTTATTTCAATTAACATAATTGTGTCGCATAAGTAGCGACCTGCACGAATGGTGTAACGACTGCCCTGCTGTCTCCAACATGGGCTCAGTGAAATTGAATTCTCCGTGAAGATGCGGAGTACCAGTGACTAGACGGTAAGACCCCAACGAAGTTGCCTCTACCAAGAAAATTCGGGAACGCCTTCAACTTTTTTGTCCGTGTGCCGGCACGAAGTGTGGCGTCAAAGTTTCCATAGTACATGAAAATGGAAGAGAAACAGTCAGTAGTCTTGCCAAACTGATGGAGAGCCGTGTGCTTGGAAATCTTGCACGCACGGTTCGGAGGGAAACTTAGTCAGATTACACACACTGCTTACCCTATCTATTGGGTCGTTGGTTCTTTTTTGTGGTTTCCTGCTGATAACCTACTTGTCCCAATGTATGGCATTCGCTTAGAAATCTAAGCGAAGAAGGACTTCGTACTTCGTACCTTCCGCGGTGTTCCAGCACATAGCGAGATTACGAGGCTCATATTCGAACCTCAGGATGTTTTTTGGACTTTATCTTCATCTCTTGTGATTGAGAAATGAGAGATGGACTTTCTTCTTTCTCTCTCTAGATATAATTGAGTCTAGAGAGTGGGTAAGTAAACAAGATAATACGCCGCCGGCCAAATCCAACCATCCCAGCTCTTATCTAGACTGAACCCTWCGCTAATGGGAATTGAAAATTGACGATGGCCCGGTGGGATTGAATTCATTGATTGCTCTAGCTTACTGAAACCTCACGGAGCATAAGTTTTATTTCCTTCTTTGCTCGATTATGTAATCAATCGCTTATCTTACTTTGCGTTCTACCCACTGTAAGCCAGATAATATGTCGACGAGGGCGCAACACTTCAGGTGTCCTCTTACGCATGGCGCACCATAACCAAATAGTTGCTTCGCCAATGAAGGATTTCGTGCAACAGAATGAATCAAAGAACTAAACATGTTTCCAATACCTACACCGGCTCCAGCTAATGCAATTGTTGCACAGCCCGCTCCAATTAATTTTGCACCTTCTAACATAGCCATCTTCTTTTTGTTTGTATCAAAACAAAGACCATTTATCGTTGATTACCCAAATCGCCGATTTTGTCAAAATCAATGCGGCAGAGGCTCGCCAGCACTTCCTTCGTTCGTGCCTCTGCCAATCCTCAGAAGCGATGATATAATATTATACGCGACGTTTCTTAGGAGGACGACATCCGTTATGTGGCGTTGGAGTTACATCGCTAATCTTGGTTATAATAAGACCTCATGCCTTTATGCCTATTGTAGTGGAAGTTGTCTCTTTCAATGATTATGTTTATTGGGTGTCTAATAAATTATACTAAAAAACAAAGGAGCGAAGCAATGAGTATGAGTTCTCAAAAGCATCCTTATCATTTAGTTGATCCAAGTCCATGGCCTATTCTTGGTTCACTGGGAGCTTTGGCAAGTACCATTGGTGGTGTTATGTACATGCATTCTTATACAGGAGGTACGTTGTGCCTTAGTTTAGGTTTAGGAATGATTTTGTATACCATGTTTGTATGGTGGCGTGATGTAATACGTGAATCCACCTACGAAGGATATCATACATCAGTGGTTCAAGTGGAACTTCGTTATGGTATGATTGTGTTCATTGTGTCAGAAGTAATTTTTTTTGTAGCTTTTTTTTGGGCTTTCTTTCATTCAAGACTGGCGCCTACCGTAGAAATAGGAGTTATTTGGCCTCCAAAAGGTATTGATGTGTTAGATCCTTGGGGAATCCCCTTTCTAAATACTCTTATTCTACTTTCATCTGGAGCTGCTGTAACTTGGGTTCATCATGCTATATTAGCTGGTTTAAAATAACAAGCCCTTTATGACATATTAGCCACTATTATTCTAGCTTTAGTTTTTACTGCATTTCAAGGAATGGAATATGTAGAAGCTCCTTGATTGCATTATGTGTATGTTGTTGAGTAAGCGGATGTATGGATGTCATGATTAATCGTTTATCTTTCTGTCGAATCTTTGCCTGCACCTGATGCAGTTGTAAATGGGATAGGAATTTGGCCCCGGTAGCGATTTTGTTCT